GTTCGATATAATGTTAGAAATTCAAAGTATAACGTACGAACGGCCGAGGCAGGCCATGTGCATTTTGTCAACGCGCTTCCCCTTGCTCGAGGAAAAGTTGACCTGACGCTGAAGTGCTTTAGGCAATAAAAGAGGCCATAGTGACGTAGGCGGCCTTAGGGCTAGTTTAGTTTAGTTTAGAACGTGATCTCCCGAGAGAGGGGAATTTCGATATCCCCTTCCAAGGCCCAGCTGTGACTCGGCGTCGTTAGCTATCTCGTAATCCCGCAATTGGGACTACCGTGGGCGTTACCCGGGGATGATATTTCCCCCGACTTTCCAACCGTCCCAACTTGGCCTTGGGACTAACAAAAAGTCAAGAAGGACTCACTCTTTTGTTGCTCGCAGTCGAGATTAGACGTACCTATCGGTTGGAAAGTAAAACCTTGATTTAGACACGCCCGCGAATTTTATTTCAATATATTACCATAAAATACAAAGGCATTGGTTCATAAATTACAAATTATTCAGAGATCAAAGAGAAGTGATTTTACATGGAAAAATAAGTCGAAACTATAGAATATCATTTATAGAGTGAAGTATCTTTAAAAGAATGAAATTTAAATACAGTGAGCACGTTTGAATACATCAAATCTTATCTCTGACTATAACTCACTATTTCTATTTGTACACGTGAATTATAGGACAACATGATTTCACTTCTATCAGTCTATCTCCTATTACTATCATCTATTCGTTTGTATAATACCATTATAGAAAATAGATAATACCACTGACAATGTTTATGAGTATCAAAACAAGTAGAAATACGTAGTACTGATCAGCCATGGAGCTAGACAAGTGGTAACTAAATGGCATAATTTTTAAAAGAAAATATAATATAATAAGTTTTTATTGTCTAACTTTGACTGATTTTTCCATGTAGAATTTCTTTTTGGATTGTATTACCATTTTGGTAATACTCTAGGTATACGTAAAGAATTTAATATAATGAACAAAATTTCGTCAAATTCTCCACACGCATAAAATGATTTTTATTTTACTCTGCACCAGGAAATACAAAATAGTAATCTACACTTTGACAGAAGTTTTCGCGGTTTAATACGAGTCGCGAGCGACGGTAAATCAGAATCGCGTAGTAAATAACGAGAAGAAATTAAGAAACTACCATGAAGAATAATGCAGCAAGGGAGGAACAAGAACATGATGGAAATAGGGTCACGCGGACGTCACCGGGTGAGCACCGCGTTTTGTGGGACAGGTCAGGATGCGTCCATGGTTGGAATAACGGTCGCGATTTTATGTTTTCACTTCTCCTTGGCTACTATGGGAATGGTAATCTCCGAACGGGGGAATGGGTTCAATTAAATGTCGTTTCTCTTGGTCGCAGCGAAATGCTTCATTGAACTGAATAATTTTTCAAGGACTGCTTAACAGTATGAACCAATATCAATTAGAAAATCACAGAAAAACGGGAAATTTCCGATGGTTAAAGAATCGAATAAATGAAAGAAATGTTATTATGTAGGTATAAATACGTGTGTTGACTACTGTTGACTGATCAGTATCAGATATTTCTACTTGTGTTGATAATTATAAATATTGTCAGTGGTTTTATAACTTCTCTTGCACAATATTCTTACGTAAACAGATAGAAAATACAATATTGTGAAAATACAATATGATCAATGTATAAAAGTAGAAATAGTGAATTATAGTCGTACATAAAATTTAATGTATTCAAAAGTGTTTAAGGAATTTCAATTTTATATTTTTAACAAAACCACAGTTCATAAATGACATTCTACATTTTCTACGTATTGTTTCATATAAAATCTTTTCTTGTTTTTATGTCTGATGTATGTTTTATTTGGATGAAGACGGGACACGATAATAATTTAAATTATATGCAAGGATAGGTATACATATATACTCATATATGTAGTCCGTTTTTTTTTACAATTTCATTCTTTGGCACATAATTTACAATTCACATTAATCTACATATAATGTCCCCTGCATTATTACTAATGAATAGATTTCATTTATTTGTTACTTGACAAGTACCTATAGGGGACGCGAATTTTTCTAAAGAAACTTATTTCGATTTGTGATAATATTGATCGCAGAAATGTGTTATTAAATAATTATAACAAGAATATTACAACTGAAAAGAGTACCTAGAATACACGAACGTTGTATTCTCCTTTATAGACTAGAGATTTTTGCATTTTTGACAAATATGGTTGGCCAGAATATTATATTTAAAATAGTAACTTCAACAAACGTCCATGGAATTTTTACTCAATACTTAAACTAACAACAGCATTGATAGAAGAAATAAATTAACATTATACATACACCTACTCTTAGAAATTAGTCTGCAAGGGTGTTAATTTATGTTAACGTCAGTACCCCTACCATTAAAAGGTACAAGACTAGAAAAATGTTTCTCCTATCATAAAACTCTATATTTAGTAATAAACTGCTTGAAACATTATTACCAGCACAACGAGAGTCAGTTGCATAATAAAGGAATCCTCCAGCGTTTGAAGGGGTATGCATATCAAACGAAGGGAGTATAAAAGAGATAGTAACATTACTACTGATGTAGGATATTACAGAAACGAATGGAAAACGGTGGATATTAATTCGGCACGCGGAATCGCAGTCTATTGTCGTCTCGGTACAAGCCCGCCCCCACCCGGAAGAATGGGGTAACTCGCAATTTCTATTATTTGCGAATTAAAATGGTGCGTTCGAATCAGGAAGAAAATTTCCGGCATCTTGCCGCGGAAATTGCAGCCGGAACGCGAGGCGAATAAACCCCGGACTTTTCTCGTTCGTTCTCTTTCCATCCTTTATATTTTCTTGGCTTGATTGCTTTGCGTCGGGAGGGTGTCAAATCAGTCGAGTCACGGTTTCATTCTGCTGTAAAATTGATCGATGCTGATCAACCGAGACATCGTAACGCGGGCTAACCGCCAGACCAGTTTTATTTTCTTTGCAATCGTAATGTTTATTGCAGCATACATACACGGTAAGGCTTACGGTGTGTTGTATTGATGGGAATGGTGAACCCGTCAACGACGAAGGATCGCAGGACTCCAAACAATTTCTAACACTATTTTAATGCTTTCCATTATTCTAGTACGGTATCATTTAAAAAAGTTACTTCTGCATAGATCAATATTACATTCCTAACGATAATAAAGCGATATCTTTTTTTTACCATGCTTTCGCTGTTTGTAATATCAATATGTGAAAAACTGAGGGTCACTTGTATTTTCGGGTGTGATTGGACAAGGCTCGTTTCTGTCGCTGACAATGAACAAACATTGGATGCTGCAATTCTTGGCGGTTGCGAGAAGTTTTTGTTCATAATTTGTTACATGCCAGCTAGTTAGGACGTGAACTGCGGAAAACGCCTGAACATCGCGATTAGTCAGTAGCATTTAGTCACTAACAATAAGTGAAAAGAACCTTTGCTACTTCTATAGTTCGTGCCACGTCATTCCTTTTCCATTTCTTTCTATTCCTTTCTTTTAAACACAATGGTAATTTAGTAAACACAATAGCGACATACTGATTCCAATTTTAACATAGTATTAATAAAAAGAAAAAATTTTCGAACTACACTGGCCGTGCGAATGAGCTTGAGAAACCGAAATTGATCTCGTGCGTTATATCTGGCGGAGTCGAAAAAATGTAGGTTTTCTCTGCAACAAATGACCGTAGAACGATGATTTTTTTTAAATTTGGGGTAGCTCGACGAGGTATTAAGAAATAGCGTGGCCACTATTTAAAAAAGTTAATGTAAACCCAAAATTTTTATTTCTTAAATTTTTTGTATTTTAAATTGATTCGTTTTGTTTATTAAGCATAGATGGTGTTTAAATGCTAAATATACATGTGACTACACATGTGAGTCATACAAAACAACTTCTGTTTTTTCGATTTAAAAAATGTGCAACTTTCAGATTTATCTCAGTTTTATAGCGAATCCTTCTCATGAATATTATTTATATTATTCAAAATAGCATACACGAATAAGCGACGAATTAAGTAATTATGACAAAGTCAATAATAACTTGAGTAAATGTAAATGTAATTTTTGACAGGGGGTAGTAAAAAAGGTGGACTCTATCAAAATCCACATGTATCACTTAATATCATACATACACATGTAATGTAACAATCTATATTAGAACTTTCCTGCTGTGGCTCCAACGGTGAGTTCATTTGTATATTTGAAATAATTGTAGAAAGGAAAATCACACGCATAAGGTGAAATTACGTTTTAGGTTAGGTACAAAAAGACTGAACGACCGTAGTAGTGTTACTACAAGACAATCAAAACCCATCAATATGACTGTCTTCAAATTTCTCATTTCACAATTATTGAAATCATAAGAGATCTTTTGTCAGAATTTATATTGACTTTTAGTTTATTATACATGTGCAACCCAGATAATCATTTGCGTATCGATTAGCAGCAAATTGACAGCAGATAGTGACGAAATTTGTCCACAAATCCATAACCAGTTGTTTTTAGCTTGAGTTTTGCAGGCAAAGTCTGCTTGATAGACTCGTGAAGCAAATTGTTTATAGCAGATCCTGCATCAAATCTGTAGCCATTATGATTTAAAAGGCTTATAACCAGCATTGGATAAAATCTGGCTGTACCGTTTTGACGGACTGGGAATTGTTACATTGTATTATATCGTACACGTATCAATATACTATACAGTTCAATTCAGTTTACATTCAACGCTGGTAAGTCCTAGTGTTAAAGAAATATAAATGTGGTTCATAGCAGAACAATCAATCTCGAAATACTGTGTGATGAAGTCTGTTAGAATGTACGAACGAATGTTTCACAGGTGACAAACTTCTAACTTCGAACAGTTCGTAGTAACCACTGTGCCTTGGCGATCTGCAACAAAAAATTAATGGAGAATGTTGATAATAACGACCAATCCTGGGTTTTTGTGTTGCAGCGATTCTGCACTCGCTATGCAAGGAATTTCTGCCGATGAACGTGACAGCCATCTTGTACCTGATGAACTACGAACAATATGGTCGGAGTACCGCCAGTGCTCAATATTTCCTACAGCTGGCCGGTTATCTGGGAATTCCGGTGATTGCGTGGAACGCCGATAACTCGGGATTAGAACGGGTAAGTCAAAGCTGTACAATCGAACAACTCTGGTTTTTTTGCCCGTGTAAGTTTTTGTACGTAAACTGCAAAAAAAGCACAGGGGATTTTTTATCCTAATTCTGTTTACCGACAACAATTCAAATTAGCAATATTATCTTACGTTTCGGAAAGAAACGTAACTTACGAAGTTTTATGTGATACACGTGTTTATGCAATACAAAATATTCTCGTATAAAAAAAATGACAGTACACAGAATGATAATTCATTAGGTTACGGATTTTATACGTTGGTTACACATGTATATCTATAAATATAGAAAACATAATGAAATAGAAAAATCGGTACTCAAAGAGTGTTGCTACAACAAACGCGTTTTCTTTTCTCTCATTCTTTTGTTTCTTTTGATTTTGCCTCTTAAAGTTAGTACATTTCTTTGCCGAATAGTAGCGCCGTTGTTTTAGTTTTTATCGTCGATTACCGATCTTATATACATACATATATAATTCTTGTACGAGTGTGTTTGCGCACAAGCCTCTAACACACAGTTCTCACTGTTGAGGCTTTCGGGTGTAAGCCGTATCCTTGTAGAATTATTGTTTTCCCAACATTTCGCAAGCATTGCCGCTAGCTACATTTTTTTCTCTTGGAATCGAGCTTCTTTCTCTCATGTATTGGCAAACGAATGAATGCTTTACATCCGAAAATTCTCAAATGTTCTACATTCGGTTTTCTTCCGGGTCAAGCTTCAGTTGGCGTTTTACCCTATTACGACCTTAGTTGCAGATGTATTCTTTAGATAAATTGCTGTTTTTAAAGCTTCATCCCAGTATTTTTTATTTAATTTGACATTATGTCGCATACAGCGACTCTTCTCTATGATCGTGCTATTAGCTCGTTCGGCTACTCCATTGTACGGAATAGTCGTTTCATGCCTGATTCCATTGGCCTTCATAGCCTTCAAGTAATTATTCATTTCCCGATTCACGAATTCTTTTCCGTTGTCTGTTCTGAAGATTTTCATGATGTGGCCAGTTTGGTTTTCAACCAATGCTTTGAACTGTGTGAAAGTTTCGAGTACATGATCTTTGCTTTTTAGAAAGTATCCGAACTGTTTTAGTTGCGCTGAAATCGTCTATGAGTGAGCACAATTATCTTACGCCTGACCAACTTTGTTCGGACAAGGGTCCACAAAGATCGGCGTGTAGTAATTCTAAAAATATCGTACCCCTTTGAGAACCATACTTTTTAAATGACGATCTACTCTGTTTTCCTTTTATGCATCCTCTGCAGAGATTTCTGTCCGAGTTTGAGTATTGCTCATCCTACTGTTACTACACTTCAAATGACCAAATCTCTTGTGCCATAATTCTTGAGTGCCTTTTTTAATGGCTGCAAAAGATTTTAGTGATTTGAGATTTAATTTGTTCATACCATTAAGGCTGGCTGCAGTTGCTATCGGTGATATAGTTCCACCATATTTTTCTTTGTGGTGAATCTCGCAACTTTTCTCATTAAATGTAACTGTAAAATCCTTGTTTACAAGAGTGCTGACAGATAGTAGGTTAGTATTTAAATCAGGTACATAGGGTACATCTGTTATCAACTTTGGTTCCGTTTGATTTAATAAGTCAACAAAAACGTCACCTGTTCCAGCAGCTTAGAGTTTTTTAGTTCAGCTTTTCTAAAATTTATGAGCCAGTCTTCGTTTCTGGTCATGTGGTTTGATGCTCCCAAATCGACGTACCAGTCGCAAGTAGTAGCTTGAGTTGACAGTGCAATTAACAAAGTCCAACTTGTATTTTTATCATTTTGGGAAAAATTACCTCTCGATGAAACAGCCTGATTCTTTTTGCAGTCAGGTTTTTTGTGTCCCGCCTCACCACAACTAAAGCAACGTATTTTCTTCCTTTGAAAGGGTGTTTTGAAAATTTTCTTTCTAAGTAAAACTGTTGTTGTAAACGCTGCTTCCGAGGACTTTTCTTCTTCCTGTTTCGTGAGAGAACCTTTAATTTCTTCCTGCAACAGTTTATTCTTAATTAGATCGCTTGTGATTTCAAAGCCTGAGTTTTCAAGCGCCATGACCATTGGTTTATAGTCTGCGGGTAATCCTGCAAGCATAATTACACCAATTAGTTTATCGGCCATTAGATTTCCAATGTCGGCCAGCTTCTGTGCAAGCACCAGTGCTTCTGACACGTATTCATTCATGTTGCTGAAATTTGAATAGTCGATCTTTAGTAGCGATCTCATTAGTCCAAGCATTTCTGATAAGCCTTTATCCTCATATGCTTTTGATACATTAAGCCAGGCTTCTCGCACATTTGTAGCCTTCTGAAGATGCACGTGACAATGATTTTTGACGTTCAGACAGATCGTCGCCAGAGCCCTCTGATTCGTTTCGACATCAAGCACGTTAGTATTGGAAGAATCAACACAATTCCAAAGATTCATCCCGATTAGGGTCATTTTCATCGTAAATTCCCATGATGAGAAATTCGACGTTCCATCTAACTTTGGATTGATCAGGGGAATATTTCCCATGAATCTCATGGTCGTCGACATTATATTCAACGCAGTTGGCGTCAGAGATGGGCATTATCTTGATAAAAAATTATTTAAATAACTGTTCGAATAAAAGATACTTTATCATTATTCGTTATTCGATGCTCGAATAAAAAAAAATATCATTATTCGACGAGAATTATCCGACGAATAAAAGGTACTTTTTTTATTCGAAGCGTTTTATTTCCAGCGTCGAATGAAATTTTCATCTTTTATTTGTATCTTTTATTCGAAGCCTTCAAATAAACCATCGAATAACTTTGGCGAGTTAGCCCGGCTTAAAAAAACGTGCTGGCGAGCGTCGAGCGTCATCAGCATACAATGTAAGCAGACGTAGATGAGATAAGGAATGACGCACGACTGAAACTTTAAACTTTTACAATTTTCAATATATATTAATGAAAGTGTCATGAATGAATTGAAGAGATTCTCCCGTTGAAAATGCATCCAAATTCGAGTGTAATTTAACAATTTTCACTCATAGGTAATGTTGTGGATAAAAATGATATATTATTGAAGATATAATAATGATATATTATTGAAGATTGAAGTCTGAATGATGTCGTATTTGGATTCATTTCCACTGGCAGAATCTCCTCAGTGTATTCGTCACACTTTAATGAATGTATACTGACAAGTATAAACGATCAAATTTCTAAACAGCAGTGTACAAGTTTGTTATTCGCTAACAGTTTTTATAACAACGATCTGCATGTATACATACAAGATATACGACCCTGCATAGTCTGCTCCCTCGAAACCTTTTTCTTTTCAATCGATAAGAATCGCAGCCATAAATTCCGAATTTCCAACGAAATTCTCGCAGAAACTTTTCAAATTCTCCGACGTCTCTATTTATCCCAAAGAGAAGGATATTCAAATTCTTCCGTTTCCGTAGAATTTCATTTTCGATTTATCAATAAATTCCTCGAACCACTTTTTACCGTGTCGCTGCAGAATCGATGAGATGGAGGGATTGAAATCGTATCACACTGTAATCACAGTTTTGTTATACGTTCGTCTTTTTTCGTTGACAATGTCCTAGTGATGTTAAACTGAATGGCCGGTGTAATCGCAATATGTCTGTCAAAAACAGAGCTGGACAGAAACGAATGTTTTTTTTTTAGTTGAATGATATCTTGAATATCAAATACCAATACAAATGTACAGAGAAATGAACGCATAAGCATGCAGGTTGTAGTTTATGATGATGAAATACTCAAATACGCTTCTTTTTTAGTACGTGTTTAATATTTCTGTAAAATATTATTAAATCAATGGGAAGAAAACAACCATTCACCATTCATGTTTATGGTGTTATGAATCCATGTAGTTTTCACAAATGCATGTAGTCTTCAATCTTTATCATCCTATAAAAGCAGTTTACATAATTCTACGTACTTCGCAATTATAGCAAAAATGGCAATAACCTTAAAATGTTCAAACAGTCATTTATTTCCCAAGAACCTAACAATAGATGTTATGTCATAGTTGTTTCTATAATTTTGTTATTTTAAACGTAAAAACATTTCTTATTTGATGACTAATCAGATAATACTTTCACTGACATTGCCCAATAAGAATATATTATTCTAGGGATTTGATCGGGTTGTCGGTTGAAACAATTATCCCACATGTTTATAGGTGTAAGTAATTTTATTAATAGAATAAAATGCGTACTTTATAATATCGGATGGATTCTCGCTACCTCACAATACTCGCTATCTCACAATACTCGCTATCTCTCACTGCTCGCTGTTTTACCCCATGTCTCTCTCGTTGCTTCGCGGTTTGTATATCAGTTTTCGGCTACGTATTCGCTTACGTGCCTACCTCGCGGTTATCGCCCTTTACCTCTCTTTCTCTCTCACATTTGCACTCATCGGTCGCTCACCTATCGCACGCACCCATGTGTTGTTTATGCTTCGTGCCGTTGACACCAGCCAACGACCCGCGTGCGCGTCTTATCGGCTGGCGAGGACACGTTTTTGTCCTAATCCTCGCACAGTGGCTATCCGTCTCCCACATTATTGGCATTACTGCTTTAAATTTTCCTTGTCAATGAAAAATTAATATATCACTATAGAAATAGGTTAGTGAAATAGCGTCAGTAAGGAGAATGACTGTGAAGAGTACATGGGAGGAGTATAAAGCTAAGGCAGTGATGTAAAATTTAGGTAATGTAAACCAAGTCAATTTCTTAGCCGTGAGGTTGAAAATAAAGATTATTATTATTATTATTATTAATCTATTATCTGTCCGGTTGTATCACCATTTACGGCACACCCTGTATATACGTTAAATAGGTTATAATGAAAATGTAACAATATATAGAAAAATGGAAACGAATCGTTCGGTTACTTCCGTTGCACTATATACAGGACTCTTTTTTACCATATTACCTCCTCAATCTTCTCCTTTCAAGAAATGATAACAATAATAATGTTCCTATTGCACCACGTAAGAAAATATACATAACAAAAAAACAAGAACAGAAGTGATAAAGACAACGCAGAAAAACGTAAGCAATATATCTACCAAACTAAAATTTAACAAATGCAGTAAAACCGGGGCTTAGCCTAGCTGTACTTAAAACTTAACCTATATTACCACTCCATTACGTATACTGACGTGTAAACTTGGCTTCCGTTAGGGGAAACAGTAGCGTAGTTGAAGGGACACACACCACTTGGTAAATTTATCTCAGGTACTGAAATAAATGTTAAATCGCATGTTAATTTGGCATAAATTTCAATAATTCCCAATATCAAGTGGTAGGAGCATGGTAAGAGGCCCTTCTCCTACGCCACTTTTTCCCCTAGCGGAAGCCGAGCTTGTTTGTGAGGGTATACTCCTGCTCACACGTTTCGAACACCCTTAGCTTTTTGGACAACACAAACTTTCTCGAACATATACAATTGTGCTATTATAAAAGATTAATATTAGATATGAATAAAATATTTATTTACTTAAGAAAGAAATTGTATCTTTTGAAATCATAACATACTCCAAACTTCTAAGCAGATCTGTTGTATACTCAATTGATCTATTTTCTTCTTGTCCATTAACACGTTCGCTACCAGCATATTGTTCCGAAAGTGTTTGTAATAGACTACGCTGGATTTCCATCATTCTAGTCACTGGAATATTCTTACCTACTTGATCAGGTGCTAAAAAGACATAAAACAGAAAGTAGAATATAGGTGAATAATGCGAAACATGTCCTGCATTTACCGAATAAAGTATGCAGACGTCGAAATTGGAGCGTCACAAATACACTAACACTTCTAAGTATTAAGACACTGATCGAATATACAGTAAATGCTACAAGGCATTAGAAAATCGCTAAAAATCTGGAAGAAATATTGTCTAGAGCAGGCCTGTCCAATATGTGGCCCGCGAGTCATTTCGCCAGACGACGCGGTCCCCACCATCACTCACAGTCCATTTCCCACTACTCGCTTGCGCTGCGATGCGATCGTAGGGCAAGAGGTACGTGCGGATAGGAATCTCTGGAGCGTCGGAAGTGGGGACAGTCAGAGCATGTACAGACGCTTTCTTGTCCCTATATCGTCGGGCTTCTTGTGGATATGGAGGGGGGTCAGTCCCCTCGGCTGAAAGAGCAAGCCGGTAGGGGCGATTATCGATTTTGACCCGCGGGCCACAAGTTGGACAGGCCTGGTCTAGAGGATGTGAAAGCTCGATGCACAACGCTTATCCGAGTATGAAGTGGCCTAAAGTATACCATTTTTACGAAATATCACATGTTCTGCATCAGACCAAGTGTCCTAATACTTATGAGAAGTAGTGTATGTGATGCTGATAGCGAACGTGCCAGATTCAGTTATGTGACATGTTACATTATTAACAGCCTCTTTGATACACACTCCACCTATAACTAATGTTACGTAAACTCGTTTAAGACCCGTCTGTTCCCGTCTGCTTTCAGAGAGCGTCCCAGAGCAACTTGCAGCTACAGCTGGCGCCGTCGTTGGAGCACCAAACGGCAGCGATGCTGAGTATCCTCGAGAGGTACAAGTGGCACCAGTTTAGCGTGGTCACCTCGCAGATCGCCGGACACGACGATTTCGTGCAGGCGGTCCGTGAGCGTATCTCGGACATGCAGGACACCTTCAAGTTCACGATACTGAGCGCAATCTTGGTCACGGAGCCGCACGATCTGCTCGAGCTGGTGAACAGCGAGTCTCGGGTGATGTTGCTGTACTCGACCAGGGAAGAGGCAACGCGTATTTTGAAGGCCGCCCACGATTACAAAATCACCGGAGAGAATTACGTGTGGGTGGTTACGCAAAGCGTCATCGAGAACTTGCAGACGCCCAGCCAGTTTCCGGTCGGGATGCTTGGTAAGTGAAAAAAACGCCTTAATACCTAGCCGTATCGGCGACGCTTTCTCTCAAAACCCGTGTCTCTCGCATATTTTTGAAATGCATCGATATTAATTGTGTACTCACAAGACAATGTTCGAAGGATTACTGAAAATCGAAATATTAGATCCTCGTCGATGCCGGTAATAGACAATGTTACTGAGGGATTTTTAAAAAGTCGCCTGGCGGAATTTCCATCGTTGGTGTTTCCGAAACCAGGTTTTGGTATGTCGACCAGTCACCCCATTTGAGTTCTAAAATTTTCTTGAATGGTGTGTTTTCTGTTGTTTGCTACAATTTTATCCGTGTTATCTCTAATTTGCCGTTTCTGAACCTTCAAGCAATAAGACAGACATCTTATCCATGCGTGTAGTGTGGATAATCCATAACTGTACTGTTCCATGTTTGGTACTCGTTTCGTAACTTCATCTAAGTTGTTCATTATTTTGGGTGTGGCTCCACATATGCCACAAGTTTGCGGAGATGACTCAGTAACAGCTGCAAAAATTTCGTCATCTATCATGGCCAACTGAAAACTGTGCTTAATAGATATCCTCCGTTCGCCACTAGAAATTGTTGTTTCTACAATTTCTTTTATCAGATTCTCAACATATTTTATTTCTTTTTTAATGTCCCCGGTGAACTCTTTTTCAAACAGTATTTTAATTGGACGGCAGAAGCTTGTTGATGAAGGTCGTAGATTGTTCCAAAAAATTTGAATCGGTCTGCGGTTTGCTGCTGTCTCCACCGAATGTTTGCTTTTATGTTGATTGACTTGCACTTCCGTCACAACCCGATTTATAAATTAGAGTTAGATCCTGTGGTATATCTATTTCTTTTGATACCTCTTCTTGACTCATTACAAGTCTTGTAGCCGTATGATCTACAAGTGCTTGCTATTTTACTCCAACTGCTACCTCTGAAAAAGTAACACTTTCCTTGTTAGGATAGCAAGCTCGTTTTGCTTTTTTTTATTATATTATACGATGGATAAATATCACAGTTGCGTGCTTTGCCTCCAGATTTCATCAGATTATATGTGTGTTTTGTAAAATGTCCATCAACATATAAAGCCAAACCTTCTTCCGCCGTATATTTAATTGGAGCTGATGATGTTGATGCCAAGGTTTTTTTCATTCTAGTTGATTTCTTTGTAGCATTTGTTGTAACAGTTTCGACCATTAGAGCAGCATTTCTTTTGCCGGAATTTTTTAAACTAGTACTAGCCGCAAATGACAGTTCCTCTGAACTCTAATTTTCTACCAAAGTTTGTCGTCTTTTTGTCTCACCAATAACGTCATCGAACTTTTTTGATGTTTAACCTACTCTTCCGGTACGTGTAAAAACTACTTTGTTGTCCAGTTATTCCTTCATTTATCAGCAAAATTACTATTAAAGTTTCTCACGAGTTTCTTTACATGTTGGTAGTTTGGGTCTTCCTCATATTCATTTACATGTAATTTGTTTAAAATGTAAGACAAAACTGGAATTCTTGTCATTCATGTACTGCTTACGCCAAATTTCAAAAAGTTCTCTTCTTGATACGAACATGGCGACTAAAAAAGTGCAATATATTAATTGTTTGCAGACATTTGCAATTAATTCTACGTTGAAAAAATTGACAAATTGAGATAGACTACAAAAATAGTAGAATTTAAAATTATAGTAAATCCATTCAAATCTGTGAATTGCGAGACCTTTGTGTTCCAACAATATTATCAGAATCGATGCAATAATCTAATGAAACTGAAGAGACTATTACTATGACCTAATGAAAAGAATTTTAAAACAAAATACGTTGAAATGTTTACTTACCTTTTGATATCTCCACCAAAGTACACAAAAAAATACATTTAGCAATACGCACAGCAGAACGCACAAACAGATACTGACGCAGGTAGACAAATATTGCGCCAAATTCGTGATGCATATGGGAAAACCATTGTGCCCGGGCATTATTTTATGATAGGCAGGTAGTCACCGACTACCGAAATTTTTCCGATTCTAAGAAGATTCAGTTTCTTAATTATTCAATAAATCCATGTTGCGAACGTTTTCATATACAGTGAATCATCGATGAATGTTCGGAGGCTCCTCGGCACTGACAAAGAGAAGTCTCCAGGTGTAACGCTGACTTTTTAATAAGTTGTAGCAGTAATAGAGCTTGGAATTCTGAAGCCAATGATATCTGTTTCAACTGAATGATATCTCTTCAATGATATCTGTACACGGGCGACCGGTGACCGATCGTCGTAGCCGCGACCGTCAAAATTGTGCCATATTCAACAACATACTTTACGATCGCGCGCGGTTAGTCGCAAGTGGAAATAAGGCCAAAAAGCTACTTCTCGCTCCCGGTGCTGGAGACATGCCCAATGTTCGGAGGCGGAAGTTGTTCCCCCAAGATTGCCAGGTACACACTCGTCCGTGTAATTTCATTAGGAAGACGGTTTTCTACGTGAACAATTTGGAAGAAGTATATACGGTCGTGAAAGCAAATGGAGAGATCAAACATTTCTGGTTCTAATTAGACAGAAGATTTGTTGCTTCGTCGACCGTGATAGGGGGTGCGGTGGATATGGAACCGTGGTAGGGGGTGCGGTGGATATCGATAAATCTTTAGGTGAACGAATATAATTGGACTGTATTTATAAGGAAATTAAAAATTCGGATGCTAATCTATCTATATTGAATTTAATATTATTATTAGTAGTATACTATAGAGTTTATGAATTCAATAATCTATAGGGCTCTGTTAAATACAGTACAGGAGCTTTCTTTCATCGGAAAGCTTTCATCGGATTTAACGAATATTCTACTCACCTCTTGACCAGTAGAAGGGCTAGGCCAATTCTGGACCTCGGCTACAACGTAAATGTCGTTGGTAACGCTATTGCACTCGTACCAAACCCAAACCAACACCGGCTCCAACGGAAATCTTACACAATTGCACGTGTACCAAAGCCATTTTTTTTAACGGGGGAAAACGATACCGTTTTCGCAGGGGGGGAGCGCCCCTGCCTCACTTCCAATGGGCGGGGGGGGGGGCAATGCTCCCTCCCTGGGACGGCTGTTAGACCGCCCCTCCACCACCTTCCTACAGCGCAAAGGGTCACCGCGGCAGTGACCCCGTAAACTCGTGCGCTCGCGGGGTGACTTGTACATAAGCCAGACCTAGTTAGCTAGTTAGTGTAACGAGTCTCCCGGGAAAGAAGGTTTCAGTACCTCCTCCAAGGCCAAGGCTCGACTCCTTAGCGCACTAGTTTTCACAAAGCCTCGCAATTGGGGCTAGGGTTGGCATTACCCAGAGGGCTGATTACCCCCGACTTTCCAACCGAACCAATTTTTTTAGGCCCGGGCCACATGGAGCTACGGAAGTACTCGTGCCGGGGGGCGAAGAATCATTAAAGCCAGACCTAGTTAGTTAGTTAGTTAGTATCACGTTTCTCCCGGGAGAGGGGAAGTGCGATTTCCCCCCCAAGGCCCAGCTGTGGCTGCTAGTGCCGGTAGCTTTCACACAGCTCCCGCCACAATAGCCGGGACTGCGGTGGGCGTTACCCGGGGAGGCAATTTCCCCCGGCTTTCCAACCCGACCAAGTTTTTTAGGCCCGGGCCACATGGAGGCGAGGAAGTACTCGCCCGGGGGGCGGAGAGTCACTAGGATCGTCCCTTCCCTACCTAAGTGAATTAGCTATGGAATATGGTCGTCGGGGCAACCGATCCTTCGTCTCCAAAGTGAGTACCGGCTCACTCTTTGCTTCACCCACAGACCGAGTCTGTACCAGGGGTGGAATCATCGTGCTTGCGTACGTTCCATCATCGAGAGAGAGCTGTGTCGCCTGTTTCAACCCCCTATCATACTACCTACCTATGTCCCGAATATTTCAGGAGCCCCCCCTCCTCTGATACCCCTCACAAATCTACCACCCCCCGCAAGGACAGGGAGAGAGTCCCGGGACTCCGATAGAGATACATGGGGAGGCCGTTCTAGCCGACCTCAAGGAGAGACGTGGTCGGGTTCGGCGATCACCTCCCCTGGGAGCCGCGGTGGACCATAAATGAATCCACCGCCAGTGTGAAGCTAATCTAAAATTATAGCTGGGTCTGTGAATTTACTAGAATGGAAAACGAGGTAGAGTAGATCGCGCCCTCCCCCCACCCTAGAGTCTGCAAGGAACGCGACGCGAGACGATGGCCCACCGGACTTCGCCGAAATTTCTCCGAAGAGGAAATATCAGGTTCATCAGAGACCACCGTTCGCGTTCTGGGTCATTAATCACCCCTCCCTAATGGTCGACGCTCTCTCTCTCAGGCGTACCACGGATCGTTGCAGCGTGTGCCAAACGCCTTCGGGACCCTTCGACATATGTGTTCCGGGGTCACGAATTTTTACCGGCACCTGAGGCCTGTTTTCGGTAATGCCATACCTTACGACCGGTGCTTCGTTCGTACAGAACTGCCTTCCGGTTTACGATGACCGCGGGGCTCGTTGGGCCGTGGTCCCACCAAACATGCTCTCCATGTTTCCGGGACTCGGTTCACCAGTATACGCCCCGCTGTCCGGAATCGCATTCAGGCCCCTCCGCGTTTTAAATCTACTCAAGGCGGCACGACCAGGCCCCCGAAGGGTTAGATACCTGGAACGGCCATCGCCCCCCGTCCCTCGGGCCTGAATGAGCGCTCCTGGCGTTTATATATCTTACCTCAAAGCCAGACCTAACTCTGGTCTGACCTTGGTCGAATTTTGGGCATTATCGAATTTGCGGATATTACGCAATAGCGCAGTGCAGTAGCACTGGTACCTATTTCAGACCTAGCTAGTTAGTTAGTGTAACGAGTCACCCGCGACAGGAGATTTCCATATCCCCCCCCCCCAACCCTCAAGGCCACAGGCACGGCTCATGCGCACTAGCTTTCAGAAAGCCTCGCAACTGAGGCTAGAATAGTAGCTGGGTATGAATTTAACATAGTCGAAAGAC